TCTCTGTACCTCTGACTTTGATCCAGAACTGGCTACTCTCATCTACTGTTTAACATTGAAACAAAAATTGGATTACAGGTAAGAAAAATATATTTTCGCATAGATAATCTTGAAAGGTCAAAGTTATTAGTGGCCTACTGTGGATATCTTTACATATTTGGTTATGCCAGTTCGTGTAGTATGTTACATTCTACCCAATAATGTTTCCTTTGTAATAATTTACTTTTGTTTTTTAGAAATATCAACTTTATAATACATGTTCCACAGTTTTTTCCTTTTCTTGACAGAATTGCACACAAGATTTTTTATTATCTGCATTAGATATGGTCTAAATGTATTTAATCAACATATATATTGTAGACCATTCAAAGCATACATACATATACTTGTATAAGCTCGTTTATTACCTATTTATTTATTCACCTTATTCTTTTTTATGAAAAATAATGTTTAAACATTATATCATCCCTTCCTTTAGTCTCCAAGTCTCTTAGCAATTCTTAAGTTTCCATTAATGAGTAAAACTCTTAAAGATAATAGTTCGAATTATGATACCTTGCATTTTGAAGATAAAATCTTTAGTATCCATTAAAGTAAAGATGTCTTTTTTATAGGCACATTACTTTCTTTATCTAAACAGTATCTTGAGGAAGGTAAAATAGGTTTCATAAAGATTTACCATATTTTATATACAGCTCGTTTGTTTGAATCTGTTTTTGCATGAAAATCATAATATCCCAATAAATACCTACCTTATTAAAAAAATATTATGCTTATTTGTACTTAAAAATATATATACATATTATATTAATTAAATATTCTGATTATTCATAAAATTTTGTACCTATGTGAATATTATTATAAGGAAGTAACATTAAAATTCAATATCTATCTAATTAAAATGACCAGATGAGTTTTTTTAAGAGTAATAAGTAAATTATGTCTTGGTGTTAAAAATAAATTACTATTTTAAACCAATAATATGAAAATATATTTAAAATTTTATGTATGACTGTAAATTAATTAAATATATTGATATTTCGTGTAATTAAACCAAATTTTTGATCAATGTTTTGTTTGTATGAGGGAGAATTTTAAAATGGATTCAGTTTTGAATTTGTCATAAAGTATTATTTAATATTACATCGTATGCAGCTGTCCTCATTTATTTTTCATGCGATTGATCATTTATCGCCAAACATTCTGAAATTAAATATTATTACTCAATTTTTGAATTCACATTAGTTTTTATTACCCACCTCGTTTGGTATGTGCGTGATGGAAGGAAAAATCAAAAAGTTCTAGCTTACCTACGACATTCTAAATATATTTATATTAAAAAATAATGTTTACAAAAGAAGTTATTTGGTGAATACAAATAAGAAAGATAGAGATATATACAGAGTGTCCCACGAAGTGTTTGCCAGTATACACAAAAATAGGATCAATGAAATCAGATAATTGCTTTATCAGCTTTAAGCTAGGCGAGAAAAAAGTAAAATTATTCTCAAATGGGTCCTGGAACACACTGTAGTGAAGGGTAATAATATTGCAAAAACTAGTCTTGCAATAATACTTTTTATGCGACCTAAACACAACATTAGAGGAGATTAAGAGTATTGCGTAGTAAAAGAATCAATAATTGGAAAGATATTTTGAGACTGTGACGAATATTAAAGAGGAGCCTTACGGGGTACTACATCTTCGGCTAGTTGAAGAATGTGAGAAGATTTTGTGTGAAGAAGGATCAAATCTTCATTCACATTCTGATTAATTGTATGGCCCTACAGAATTCAAAGGCACCATATTTGAGAAAAAATCAGATAGAACAGGGTGATCTGCCCAGATTAAAGGCATTCCGAATTCTAAATTGCCTTGTGATTGAAAGATTTGTTTGTTATATGCGTCGAGTATGATTTCTTACCGCCTCAGATTGCAAGCTGACTAAATATTTTCAAAAACTGTATATTTAAAGTTAAAGAATTAAACTTTATGATTATGTAAATATCGATTAATGATGATTTAATTTTAAAAAGTTAAAATCATTTCATCAGAATGAAATGAGAGCAATATATTTTACAAGTAGTCTAACTATGATGCCATTACCACAAAAATTTGTAAATAACCTCAACTTTCCAACGTCATGTATTCACGTGAATGGGGAACATTCTAAACGTTCAACTAGATGACCTGACAGGTGATATGACATATGAAATGACATAATGCAGTGCCAGAACCTAACTTCTCGTACACATTTGTCAATTTACTTGTCACGTCATATGTCACTTGTCTTGTCACCTGTTACATCATCTAGTTGAACAATTTTAATATCCCCATGTATTAGGCATTCTAACAACCTCTGTAAGTATAACTGTTCTAGATGAAAATTTGAAAGTTTCAGTTAAACTTTTCCCTCAATGTAGAATATTTTGAACATTTACTTTAATCAAATAAATTAAGTATTTTATGTATTTATTTTTATAAAGGTAACGATAAATAATTTAACTTGATTGCAAGACATTGAAAATATAAAGTTATGTACAATTTTTTGTCGTCATGTAATATTTAATAAAACTAATTGAATTCAACTTTTGAGTAATAATATTACAAGAGTTTTATTTGTAGTTTTAAAATAAAAAAAGGGTAAATAACATTCCTGGGGAAACATTTGCGGGGTTTTACATTAACCAATCAACAAATGAACAAATACATATTCAACGCTTAACAAATAACACCAAAAGACAAAAAACTTACAATTGATTTAAGTTTCCATGGATATTGCTATTTTTTAATAAATATAACGCAGTAATATATTCTTTAACTAATAAATAATTGCAACGGAATTAACGATTCGAATTTATGATGAATAATTCCGATACAATTTTATTAAACTATTATTCTGTTTGGTAACAAATGATACTAACGACCAATTAAATTGAAAATTTGAAACTTTTTGTTTGTCTACCCTTCGAAATTATATTGAAATATTATTTTTTGTTAAACAGAATAATAATTTTCCTGTAAATAAATATTATTTTATGTTCAAATTATTTTAATGCTCTTTGTTTATATTATTACTTTACAATATCTACTTAAACAAGACTAATTTAAATCTAAATATTCGTTTACTGTGTACAACAAACTTCATAACAATGTTTTTAATTAGTAAATTATTATATTACGAGTAATCTATAATGCATCGTTTAATTTTTCATAAAGATGTTACTACTAAACTTACTATATAAAAGCAGTGGCGTAACTAGAATTTTTTGGCCCCAGCGCAAAATACATAGAGAGGCGCCCCTTTCAGTCACCATTTACAAATACATATGTACTACATAAAAAAAAACAAAAAACAAGTTTTAATTTTTGTATTTGTTTTACATACATGGTGTCCCACTAAGAATGGGACACAGAATAACTAAAGATTCTCTGATTAAAACTACGACGATGAAACGAAACATGCTTAAATAAAATATTAGGTATTCGATTCCGAAGTACAAAGTGTTCAAGTTTAAAATTCCAAAGTTAATAAATAATGGCTATAATATTTTATTTCTGCCAGTGACGTTCCTAATTATATTTTCAATCTATTAAAAACGCCAGTTTTACGGTATTACTCGCGCCAGGTATTGTAAAACAGAGTTCGTATGGTACGCTTAAAGTGTATGGGTGAACCCCCAGGGGTAGTCAAAACCGGATTTCAAACCCTATACATGAAAAGAATTCAAAACCACGTAAAGCAAAGCAAAGACATTAACAAAACCAAAACAATTCTTCAAAGACGACAAATCAGTGTCCTTAACCCCAGTATAGCCAAGCCGAAAAGAAAAATGCTACGCGACAGGAGACCTATGAGTAATGATTTGCTAATCACTAACCTGAGAGTAGAATACACTTCCCAGGGGGACCCCTTCAAAAATAGTGTTCGTGTTTTCTGGAACTAAGTTCTAAACAAAGAGTCCTATGTTTGAGTTTTTTTTTAGAACGATTCTGAACTGTTTTTAAAGAGTTCTATGTGATTCTAGCCAAAAGAGCGAACTGACAAAAATCGTTCTAGACACACATGCGCATTGCACCATTACAAAAATAATAATGAGTAAACAAGGTTAGAGGTTAGGTATATTATATTGTGAATTTCCTTGAATATGCAATTATAGGAATTTGACGGAGAAAATTAATTTTCTTTATAGTTTATCTTTTTCTTTAATTTAAGAAGAATATATTAACGGTGACTGACCTTCAAAAAACGTAATCAAAGCATACCAATTTTATTTAAAGTGCATTTACAAAAGAAAAAACTCTTTGTTTGTTGTTAGTTTTTTTAATGCTAAATAATAATTATTTTACCCCACAATTTTAAAAAAATCAATTGACAGTTGATAATTTAGGTGTTCGTGTTAATGTCTAATCCAAAACTGTTCGGAAGAATTCCAAATTTGTGCCACTGAGCAACTAGTTCTGCGCCATTTTAGAACAGTTCTGTTTTGAATAACACGAACAAACCTGCAGAAACAGTAGAGTAACACGCGACAACAAACCTCTGATGTACAAACAATCAGGCCTTGATTATTTTCGATTTTATTGTATTATTTTCGATTTTATTAGATTATTTTCGACTAATCGATTATTTTCGATTAAACGATTATTTTTGATTAATCGATTATTTCCGATTATATCAATATTATCACAATTTTTGAAACATAAATACGTTTTAAAATTTAAAAGGCTTATTTAAAACCATAAAAGTGAAGTAGATTTATCCAAAGTTTATAACAATATATTTTTGTGAAATATTTATGAAGTTTGTCATACGCTCTAATACGCTTAAAATGCTAAACTATATTTCTAGATAAGAATACCGTTAATAATAATTAATAAATTCAATAAACAAAGAGCATTACGTAATCATTCAATTTTAAGCTCTATGAGCAACTTTCTACCAATGATTCGCCTACACATTTATAATAATTTAAATAAAACTGTTACAAATAACTTACCGCATCCAAATTGATGTCAGTTAAGGCATTAGCAACCCCATTAGGCATGTCGGCCATGCCAGATGGTGCAAGCATCGTCTCTTGCTTTGTCGCCATATTAATGTGGTTGGCTGCAGATGTTGTTGTAGCGCCATTTTGTGGTTTAGTGGCATCTAAAAGTACCTTCAGCGATGCTATCGCATGCAATTGCGTCGCTTTTTCATCGACTTTGCCTGAAAGTATAAAGTTGAGAAGAAATAATAATGAAAAAATATCACCTTGGCTTTGGTCATCAAATATAGAATTAAGGTGTGTAATGGAAATTTTTTAATTCTAAACATTTCATTCTTGATTATGGATTTCCAAGTAATGCAAAAATACATTCGTATCCACTTAGTCCTTATAGCTCCTTACTCAATTTTAAAGCTCAAATGCCTCTTTTACTTTTTTGACTATACCAAAAGAAAATTTGCTTTCGATTTTTTACATAAAAAAATTAAATCGTTTAATTCAAATAACTGATGACCAAAATATGGTATTAAACAGATTAATACAAATAAGTATATAGTACCAGCAAGATATATAGTGTGACTTTAAAGTTTTAAAGCCAGCCGGCAACATACAAAAAAACTAAGGACACAGTCATTTTTAAATTAGTAGAGGAGCATACTTATTTTATTTTTACTTCCCTCGATAAAATGAAATTATTGTAATCGTGAAAATTTAGATTTTCACGTTTTCGGGTTTTTAAATTACTAAATACATGTTTTACCCATTCCGTCTGCCGTACACCGTCTGTTGTCTGCCGTCTGTCTGTTGGCGCGATAGCTCAAAAACGGCTTAAGAGAAAAACTTCAAATTTTGTATGCTTCCTCTTGGCTCAACACCGGTTATACTTCTGGTCAAATATATACAGGGTGAGCAGTTAAAAAAAACATTTGTTTTTAAAAGTCAGCAGATTTCGATCAAGGATCATAAATTAATTTTTAAAAAGTCAAAATGACTTCCCTGTTTTTACAATTTATACAGGGTGTTTTTAATGGTATGCTGATATTGTAGAGTATGATTCCTCAGATCATTTTATGAAGAAAAGTTCATATGAATATATGGAACATATGTCCGTAACGGCTTCAATTTTTTACTAAAGGGAGTTAAAAATTTGTTTTTTACAAAGATATTTTTTAATATCTCTGAAACTGTTAAAAGATTAAAGAAATTCTTGAATTGATAAATAATAAACAACAGCGTGGTGAATTTTGTGGTTTTATAAAAAATAAATGAACGAGAAAGAATGGGAAATGAATGAAATATGGATTTAAAATAATCTAGATGCACTCAATTTCGCAAGCAACAATTTGTAAAAATGTTTGTACTCTTTTTGATATTAATTAGAGTAGGTAATTTACAAAGGTTTACTGTTTACTATTAAGGGGGTGAATTTTGGAGAGATTATTGTTATTATATCCACCCAATTATAAAATTCTCATTACAAATTATTACTTCTCAGCGAGGACCATGAGAAGATAAGAGCACTTCCCTCGTCGGGATGGGAATGGGTAATTGGGACTATGGACAAAGGGTAAAATTAGAATTTAAAAAAATATATATTCTATTAAAACTAAAACGTTAATTTCATAGCATGGATAGATGTGGGTTTTAAAAGGTAGGATTTTAAAGGTAAAACAATATATATAAAATAAATAAAAAAAATAAATAAAAAGTTATTTTTTTCAATGCAAAAATAACGTTAACGGTTAAATATTAATAACATGACAATAAACTTAATTAAAAAATTAATTTTCTTCTAATTCCAGTTCTTCTAATACTCCTTCTTGCATATTCTCTGATTCACTATCACTATTTTTATTCAAATCAATAATAAATTTATTTCCACCATTAATATGAAAATGTGCAATCTTCATATAATCCTCTTCGATTTTGATCACCTTTTTAATCCTTTTTTGCCAATCTTCTTTGGTAATATTAGATACTTCTTTTTTAATTAACTCAATTAGCTTCGTGTTGAATTTTGGAAATGTATTTTTACGTCTAACGTTTTGCTTCAGCTGCGCCTAAATTAGCTCGATGGGATTAAAAATACAAAAATAAGGGGGAAGTCTCAATACAGTATATCCATGGTATTCAGCAATACTATCTATGGCGTATACTTTTTCAAATTGTTTCGTCTGTAATACTTTAAGAAGTTCTTCTTTCTTATAGCTTTCTTGAAAATACAAATCATTGTCCATTAGAAAATTTTGTATATCCGCTTTCGTAGAGTTCTTATTTGAAATTTTAGTCAGCTAACGTGAATGGTAGGAAGTGTTGTCAAAAACTATTACACTTCTTGCTTTCAAGTTTGGAATTAATGTTTGTTCAAAACACTCTTCAAAGATGTCGGCGTCCATGTTTTCATGATAATCAACGTAGTAGTCTTCCATTTTTTTACCGCATAATTTCAATGAACCCAATCTTCGCTTCCTCCGAAATGTAAAATAACCAGTCGTGATCCTTTGTTTGCTGGCATTTTGGCCATACACTTCCTTGATCCATCTGTCCATCCCTTCTTAACTGTGTCGTGCGTGTCATACCATGTTTCATCCAAATAGAAAATTTGTCTATTTTCTTGTCTATATTTCGTTATTTGTTCTAAGTATCCATTATTATTGTTTTAAATTTAAATCCCATTTTTTTCAACCAGTTCTAAATAGTTCTATCACAGTAGCCCAAGTTATATCCCGTGTTTTCCAATTTTTTTCTTATTATTTCAATCTTTTTACCAAAGAAGTATTTAAATGTTTAGTTAAGCCGATATCACATCGCTTCTTGATTTCATAAGGTCCATTTTTTTACTATTTTCGATATGGTTTTACAAGGTATTCCAATTAAATCAGATGTTAACTGTAATAGTAATTTTGTGTCGAAACCAAACTTCTCGTGCAGATTTGTGTACACGTTAAAATATATTTTCTGTGCTTGATAATTCAAATGATTTCGTTTTTTCTTGACTGGGAGCTCTTCATCTAAATCACTATCACAATCATATTCAAAACTAACACCGTCACTTCTATAATTAAAATGTTCACCTTCATCATTGCGCATCACAAAGTCGGTGTCGTTTTCACATTCTAAAATATTACAGTCGACCAGAAAATATGTTTTAATAATAACAATAATAAATCTCTCCAAAATTCACCCCCTTAATAGTCAACAGGGAGCTACATTTATTAATTACCTACTCTAATTAATATCAAAAAGCGCACAAACATTTTTACAAATTGTTGCTTGCGAAATTGAGTGCCTCTACATTATTTTAAATCCATATTTCATTCATTTCCCATTCATTTCCCGTTTATTTATTTTTTATAAAACCACAAAATTCACCAGGCTGTTGTTTTTTATTTATCAATTTAAGAATTTCTTGAAGCCGTTGCGGAGATATGTTCCATATGTTCATATGAACTTTTCTTCATAAAATGACCTTAGGAATCACACCCTACAATATTAGCATACCATTAAAAAACACCTTGTATAAATTGTAAAAATAGGAAAACCATTTAGAATTTTTAAAAAGTAATTTATAATTTGTTATCTTTGATCAGAAACCAATTTTAGTCGAAATCTGCTGACTTTTAAAAATAAATGTTTTTTTAACTGCCCACCCTGTATATGTATATCTAACTGGAAGTATAACCGGTTTTGAGCCAAGAGGCAGCCTTATCTGCATACAATATTTGAAGTTTTTCTCTTAAGCCGTTTTTAAGCTATCACGCCAACAGACAGACGACAGACAACAGGCGACGTACGGCAGACAGACCGACGGAATGGGGAAAACATGTTTTTCGTAATCTAGGGAACTAAAACGTGAAAATCAAAATTATCACGATTACAATACTTCCCTTTTATAGAGGGAAGTAAAAATAAAATAAGTATACTCAATTTCTTGAATGCTCCTCTACCATTTTAAAGGCGGTGTAGCAGTCTCCTTAGTTTCTTTTATATGTTGCCGGTTGGCTTTAAAGCTTTAAAGTCACACTATATCTCTTGCTGGTACTATACATGAAAAATAAATAGATAGTGAAATTTAGGTTTATATAGATTTATAAACAAACAATACAATTCTTGGTGGAAGAAAGTTTTACAAAAAATATGTACAATACATTTTCTTTTCTAAATCTTTAACGATTAAGATTACACTATTTATTATTTACTATAACCAACTAGAATAGCTTAATAAATTATCCGTATTAATTTTGTTTTTTTGTTGTGCTATCTAAACTATTTCGTATATCTTTTTTCCACCATACAGAAGATGCAAATAGAAAGAGAAACAGATTAGACAGATATTTATACTATTTGTGAATAGTATATTCAAAGATAGAATGAAAATGTAATGCAAACTATACTTTCTCCATGACACAAAAGACAAATAAAAATATTACAGTAAAGGTTTGAGCTTAGCAATCATGTTTTACTTTATGTTAAAATGTTTTTAAAAAATAAACATACTTTATATTTGTATGGAAACAACTTATTCTGATTATATTACTGTAACTTTCTGAACGAGTGTTTTTAAAATCCACTTTTAATTCACCGGATTCATTCATTTTAATTTAAATCTGAACTTTACGTTTTAAATTGTACATAGCATTCACAAACACTCACAAACAAACCGTAAAAGTGTCGCATATTTAATAGAACAGTTATATAATATTTCTTCCATATTGCAAAGAGACAATGTTAATTTTCCATTAGCAAAATTGGTTTTGGAATTCTATAGTAGTCATGGAGAAAATATTTAAATCAGATAAATAGAGGGTTGCAAATATGGTCGTTATATATTTATCAAACCGTTAAATCCTTATTGATTAATTAAAATTAAAATTGCGTAACTAGAAAAAGTACTTAAGAAATATAGTAAAATTATAAAAACGGTAAAAAAGTTCTAATGTAAACTTTACTATATTTATTCGCTTATTGTTTAATCAATCACTATCGAGCGTTTAAATACATATATTTTTTGCAAGATAATTTTAATTTTATCACATGGATTTAGCTGTTCGATCATTATTTACAGTTTTACAGATGGAACAGACAATGAAAAATAAAATATAGAGACTTAAATAATAACCTTTTAGGT